CGGAGACGCCTGTGCCCCGGGCACCTGGACACGGCCGCATTGTTTGATTGATGGCAGGTGCGGCTGCGGCCTGGCTTTCGCCGGCGGCTCTTCCTGCTCCCTGCAGAGGGGCCGGCTGGGTGGATCTCAGGGCAGGCATGTTTCCGCCTGAGTCCCACGGGGCTGATGCGGTGGGGGACAGCGTGGGCCCCCCGGGATTTCCTCTGCAAATGACACATCTCGACCGGCAAGCAGTGTGGAGAACACAGATCCCCAGCTTAGCTGTGCCCCGGGGCTGGGCCAGCCTGGGCCTGGGCAGAGCTCACAGTGAAAGGTCAGCAAGGCGCCGTGTTTTCCCCCAGACACAACCTCTGCTGCCTTTAGATGAGCTGAGGGATGAAAGACAATGAGCGCGATTGTTTTTCACAACCGTCTGCGTTCAGCTCCCAAGGCAGGTGTGTCCACGTTTTGATATCGTCACCCTGAGCCTCTTGGACACGGGCTTATTTGGAATCAAAGACTGTGTGTGTGAACCGTCCCCCCCACCCCCAGCCAGCGAAGAGGAAAAATTTGTTCAGCTCAACATACTTCTGTTTTTTTTTTTTTTGAAAGTTATTCATGACCTAAGATTACATTCCTTTGTGTGACTCTGTGGTTTGAACATTTCCAGAAATGCATATCGTCGGAGTCATGCAGTATGTAGCTTTTTAAGATTAGCTTGTTAGCAAATGCATTTGAGATTCCTGAGAAGTGAAGTGTGCCAATGGAGATAATCACTAGGAAATGTTTGTTTAAAAAAAAAAAGCTAGCGGCGGACATACCCAGTCTTAATTCCATCACTGGAATTCTTCCTTGCCCTGCTGTTGTTGAGTATCTGAAAGATTGTGTGGACAGTAGCAACAATACCTCTGCGATAATGCACGTCGCAGCCACCCCATGATTTCTAAATAATAGGAGAATGTTCCAGATTAACATCAACGCCTTGCAGATCGCTGTGTAGAGAGACGTGCAGATACTGACGACGCACACAGACACCCTCTAGCTCCCTCAACTCCACACACACGAACCCGAAGAACACGAAAGCACTACTCTGAAAAGACGCCTGGGCCCATTTTCTACAGCTGCGTCGTCGCCGATAGCCAGGATGTGGGAGAAGCCTCCATGCTCATGACGGAGCAGGAGCAGTTCTGGCCTGGCGACTCGGTGGAATATTACGCAGCCGTCAAAAAGACGCAACCTTGTCTTCTGCACCGTGCGCGTGGAGGTTGAGGTGCGTCTGCCAGGCGAAATAAATCAGAGAGGGAAAGGTAGTCACGGGGCGGTGTGTGGATCATCAAGACACGGGCAGGCGTGGATGGTGAACCCCTCAAATGCCTTCTGTAAAGACAGAACTCTGCAGAGACGCTCAGTGCTCGGGGGTGAAAAGAACCCCTAAATTTCCAGCGTGCCTTTCCCGTCAGATCTTCCGTTCCGCGTGGAAGCTAACCCCCAAACGGGTTTCTCCTCTCCCCCTCCACCCCGCCGGGAGGCCTTGGAACGCACGAGGTGTTTTCCTTGACGCGAGGCTTTTGAAGAATTATTTTCCTGGAAGCGGAGAAATCAAAAGCCCAGAGAGCCAGCGGCTTGCACCGCGTGACTGAGAGAGCGTCTGTCTGCGTGCAGTTGATTGAACTTGCAGAAACTCTTTGAAACCGGGCTTGACTGGCGTTCACGTTTGATCTGCTCCGAGCAATAAAATACAGGATGTAATCTCCCTCCGATTACAAAAGTCCCGCTGTGCGAGCCCACCTGCAGGCTGCCTCAGAGCCTGTCGAGGCAGACGTCTTCCTGCCTGACGTTCCGGGCCCCTTCTCCCGGCGGGCGCGAAGCCAGGAGGAGGAAAACGTGTCATAGGACAGAACCTGTCCTATGCCAGGGACAGAGGGGCACCCCTGAACCCCTAAACCTGCCTGCTGCGCGTGGGTCCTGCCACGCGCCGCGTCAAGACACGACACGTAAAAACTTGCATGAAAAGGGACTTTAATGCAGCGAGTTTACAAATCTGCCACTCGGGAGATGCCCCGCGCCCGCGTCCTGCTAAATGCTTGACACGGATTAGCGTCGTAATCCGACACGCTGGCCCGTGATGGCCCCGAGTGTGGACGCCCCGGAGACGGCGCCTGAGACGAGAGCCCTCGGGGTGGTGGGCGGACGGGAGCCCTCGGGGCGACGCCAGCGGCCTGACAAAGAGCCTCTGAGCCAGGGTGGGGGGTCCGAGCCAAGGCGGGGGGCCCCGGGCCTCCCGCCGCTCCCTGGCGTCCCCCCGCGGTCCAGCTCCCGAGGTTGCCATGCCAACCCTGGCAGGCCCGGCGGCCCCCGCTGGACTTTGATGGATGCAGCTCCGTGAGAACCGGGCGCCTGCCCGCTCGCGAGTGTGAGACACCGGGCAGAGACAGAGCCGGACGCCCGTGTCCCGGGCCGCGCTCCAGGGCACGGCTCACGCTCGGCCCCGCGAGGCGTGTCCGTCGGCCTCAGCGGGACGGGGCGGGAGACGTCTCTGGGGCCCGTCCGCCTGGCTCCGGGCTCCCGGCTCCTACGCCCCGTCCACTCCTTGTCCAGCTCTGGCCTTCTCCCGGCCGGGTGACGTCTCCGGCCTCACAGACGGGTGTGGCCATCTGGGGAAGCGTCACGGTAAGGTGGACGAATCTCACGGTGAAACCTGGCGATGTTTGCAGAGACGGGCGAAGGTTCTAGTCCGATGGGGTCGAGCAATGTTATTTAGCGGTTTCTGGAGTCGCGTATTGCTCAGATGGATTATTGGGGATGGGGTGTACTAACATACCCAGTCCATTCAGTAGGATTAATCGGGGTACGTTTTCGGGGTGGCCTAGCCATGCAGCGGGCTGTGAGCAGGGTACATTATTGGGAGGGTGTCAGTGGCCGGCGGTGAGTCCATTCAGTAGGATTAATCGGGGTACAGGGTCAGTGGCCGGCGGTAAGTGCATTCAGTAGGATTAATCGGGGTACAGGGTCAGTGGCCGGCGGTAAGTGCATTCAGTAGGATTAATCGGGGTACAGAGTCAGTGGCCGGCGGTAAGTGCAGTCAGCGGGTAAAGGACTGATGAAGCGAAACCACCAGAGCACTTAGCACACATAAAACCTGATGCTCACCCAAGGAAGCCACCATGTATGATTCTCTCCAAACGCCGTCGAGGGAAGTCCGTAAGCAGGTCAGCGACGGCCAGGACGTGGCCGGAAGGGCCGGGGGCAGCACGGGGAGCTAGTCCCGACGGACGCGGATTTATTCGTACGATGAAAACGTGCGCCGGAGGATCTGGGCAGACATTCTACACACCCCTCACCTGGGCGCTCCGAATGAATGATGTTTGCATGTGTGAATCACGTCGCCGTGACTTTGTCATAGATTATTTCCTAAGGACACGGTACCGGCCGTGACATCAATCACGCTGCTTATTCTGTCTGCGGCGTGTGAACCGAGTGCCGGGTCACGCCGCGGGGTTGACCTTGTGCCTTTGTCGAGCGGGTCTGATGCCTGCACCCAGGTCAGGACGCGGTCGCCGACGTCCGACAGCCGCGCTCCCACCGCGTGCCTGGGCTCTGCAGTGACGCACCACGTAACGAGTCCCTATTTCGTTTTCTTTTTGCAGAACAACGGTTCCCTGGGTTGGTGCCAGAGTCACAAGCAGTGTTCCAAGGTAGGTCCCCTTCCGGCCTGGCCACGTCTGGGCAGCGCTCACGTCTGGGAACATCGGACGCTTGTGAAACCTGGCAAAGGTGGCCGGGGAAAGCGCGAGTCGTCCTCACCCGCTGTCCGCCGTGGCGTGGCTCGCGTGTCCGTGGAGTGAAACGCGGCCCGCTGAGTCGGGTCCGCGGTACAGCGTCGTTTGCACCGACAGCCCTGTGTCTTTATTCTGAGCTTTGGTTGAGTCTGGGAGCTCTGCAAAGGGTGAAGCACCTTCCCCTAGGCCAGATTTGCCGCACACTGCTGACGCCTACTTTGCGGGTGGTTTTGCTTTTCCGGAGCTGCTGCTTCAGCCACTCGACCCTTCAGCTACGCAGTGTATCCCCCATTGTTGAGTCTCCCTTGCCTGAGGTTGTCTCGTACCCACACGTCCGCACGTTTAATTAATAGCTTGCGTTTCTCACACTCACTACCCCAACGCCAGAGTCGTCAGTGTGTGTGTGTACACGTGCACACAACACGTGCACGAAGTGACGTTAGCTCAGCTTGGGATCAAACTCTGTGCTCAGACTATAGACATGATTAACGACTATGAAAGCGGCCACGAGTGTTGCAGCAGATACAGGATTTTTTCTTTTTTTGTGTAAGTAAAAAAATATTTATTTATGTGCACAACAACTGGGGTACCGGTAAGAGGTGCAGGAGTGAGAAGACTCCCCAGAGACAGAGCTGGGAGCAGGCAGGCAGATGGACTGAAATGCACTGCTGAGGGGGGCAGTGGGGAGTTGAGCACACTGCTGCGCCCCGGGGGGGCCCCTCCCTGGCGGGGGCCGGAGCACACACCAGCCTCACACTGCCTGCACCACCAGGGCTCTTACTACTGAGCGTCAGTAACATTCCGAAGTGGGAGACGGCATTATAGGGATCCGTGCACGCTTCCCCGTGCCATCTCTTCTCACACACATGGATGCTATTAAAAATAGGTCGGGACTCCTGGGTGGGTCCGAAATACTTGGCGAAATGAAGTTTGCTCTGCTCCGACTCTAGAAATTCTGGGCGGGGATGAGGTGCCTGGCCCCGAACCTAATAACACAAGTATTTGCGCTCACATCGTGTTTGCTGAGATTCACCACGCCGGCGGCTCTTCGCCGGGGCGTGGTGGGGACCCACGTCCGTCTCCGCTGCGGGGGACCCGCCTCAGGGCCTGGCAAGCGGGTGCTTCGGAAATGCCTGCGTTGGGTGATGTTCACTGAACTCAGAGGGTTTGCCTGACCGACTTTGCAAAACTGATAGCTGAGCTGCGTCACCGAGGTCGGCGAGGTCAGGCTTCTCCACACCCTCCGCGATCGAGCGTGCGTGAATAGAGTTTAAAGAAAGAGGCAGCGTAGACGTCTGAATAGAGTCAAGGACGGTGTGGTTCTGAGCAATTATTAACTTTCTGCACAAGGTCGTCGTTGCGGATGGCCGAGGGTGACTTCCCGCCTTCGGAATGCAGACACGCTGTGGTGCTGGAATCCGCACTAATGAGATGTGCGATGCACGTCTTGATCCATCTTTCTCTTAAGCGCCACGACCCTCTCTGTGTTCGCCTGTGCAGCTCAGGGAGGAAGCCAAGAGTGTGTTAACGACCCCCCCTCCACGTGCAGGGGGGGTTCAGCCGCTGAGCAAATCACCGTGGCCATTTCTCAAGCCATTAAAAACAGGCCTAACTGGGCACCCAGCAATTCCACTCCCAGGAATCACCCGAAGAGCACACGTTGAAGGGAGACCTGCATTGCAGCACTGCCCGGAATAGCCAAGATGTGGAAACAACCCAGGTGCCCAAGGTCGGAAGATTGGGTCAAGGAGACGCGGTACAGCTGTTGGAACGGAATACTACACAGCCATGAAAAATGATGTTGTGCCCTTCACGGCAATGTGATGGAACTAGAGTGGTGGAGGATGCAGGTGGCCTGGTGGTGGCGGGTTTCGAAGTGGTGAGAGCTCAGAAAGGGGGTGACCCTAGATGTCCCAGTCCTCTGTGGAGCCGTAAGCCAGCGTGTCCTTCATCACGCACCTGTCCACGGCCAGCTGACGGTGCGTTCCTGTAAAGTCTGTGCCGTAACCTGTCAGTGACACGTGCTCTGCCCCGGACCTTCGTGACTCAGCCACCCCGAAGCGAACCCCGGATCTTGCTGTGCCTTTGAGATTTCCCTTGGCAGCATGATGCCGGTTGCACCCCACTGAGAACGGTCAGTGCCTTTCCCGTGTCCTGGCCTTTCTCCCCCACGATTTGTTCCTTGATGCTGATTGCCAAGACGAAGACACAAAGCAGACGCCTCTGAGCTGTGCACACAAACAGATCCCAGCCCGATTCCCACCCGCCCTTGCAGGACTTTGCATCCCCGAGCTCGGCCGCTGCGATCCCGCAAGCGAGACCAGATGAGCCCGGTGACGAAGCTGCTTCTCCTCTAGCAAAAGCCCGCCGCGTCCGAGCCCTCCGGCGCGTGCTGGCGGAGAGGGCAGTGGGCAGCCGTGGACACGGTGAATTTTCCAAAAATACCGGCGGGAGCTCAGGAAAGGCTTCAAGGTGGGCCGGACAGACATGTCTGGGCGCCCCCATTTCCACACCGAGGTCTCTGTTGTTGGGGTCTTGAGCTACTTCCCTGCTCTGTAAGCCGGGCTGACCGCGAAGCGGCCCGTCTTCTCCATGCAGATGCAAATCAGGCACGTCCAGCGGCTGGTCACTGTGCTGGGCCTGGGTCTGTGTTTTGAGCCGAGCAGCCAGAGGAGGCCTGAGGGGCGCAGGGAGCAGAACGCGGGGGGTGGGGGGAGAAGCGGCTCTAGTGTCTGGCCCTGGACGTGGGGGGGCCCGTGGGGTCACTGCTCTGACCCTCCCGGGCCCGCCTGGCCCTCTCTGGCCCTTTCCCACGGGTCCCCCGGAGGTGCTGTGGACGGTGAAGGGCTCCCGGGCTTTGCCCTGGGCCGGTCCCTTTTGGGGGGACGTTGACCCCCACGGGGGCTGGCCACTTTGGGGGTTTGCCATGCAAAGTCTGTTCTCTGTCTTTTCTGCAATGCAATGAATGTGCATGCAAGCTCCGAAGTTTGTTTGATGCGGCGGACGGCAGAACCTATTTAGAGTGGGCAGGTGTAGGGGTTCAGGGGTGCGCCCTCCCTGCCGTGTCCTAGGCCAGTGGGGAATTAAAACTCCGCCCTGGATGTGGAGAAAAAGGACCTCTCCTGCACTGCTGGTGGGAATGCAGACTGGTGCAACCACTATGGAAAACTGTTTGGAGGTTCCTCAAGCTGCTACACATGGAGCTTCCCTACGACCCAGCCATCCCACTCCTAGGTATCTACCCAAAAACACTGGTTGAAAAAGATACCTGCACCCCCATGTTTATTGCTGCTGTGGTTGCAATAGGGAATGACAGGATGAAAAGAGATGTGGTCCAAACACACAGTGGAATATTACACAGCCACGAAAAAGGATAAACGCGTGCCTTGTGCAGCAGCATGGATGGAGCTGGGAGGGGTCGTGCTGGGGGAGATGAGCCAGAGAGAAAAGGGAAAATGCCGGATGGTTCACTCACGGCAGGAGTATCAAGGACCAGAGGGGAAAATAATCATAATGACGAACAGCTCTAGAGCAGAGACATCTGGTGATGGCACACGGGTGACTAGTGACGGGCAGCCCACGGGCATGGCAGCTGAGATGGGAAAAGTCACCAAATGACGTAGAAATAAACCATCTCAGACGGGGTCCTGGAGGCCACGGACCCCTCAGGGCAGGCGGCCGCCAGCTGTCACTGGCCGCATTTCTGCGGGACGGCTGGAATCAAGCACCTGAGTGCCCTTTGGGGGCTCGTTAGCCTACGGGGCTCTCACCCCTCGCGACCGTCCGCGGCGCCCAGCGCCGCCCCTGTCCAAGCCAAGCTGCAGGTTGTCACCGCACGGAGCAGGTCGACCTTACGGCCACGGTGACCCGTGCACCTGCTGTGAGCACCCAAACCCAGCCGAGGGCGGCTCCCCTCTGCTCGCTGGGCGTGACCCCCCTGCCCCCAGGAACCTTGCATCCGGGGGGCGTCCGGCCAGGGCTCGGGGCGACTCTGGGGTTGGCACCTCCAACCCCGACCCTTGAAGACGTGGGCTTCTGTCGGGCAGGTGGGGGGTTGCGGTCCGGGGCGGCCTGTCGAGCGCACGGCTCGGGGCTTCGTGGGGGGGGTCACACCCCACCGGAGCCCTGGAGCCTTCCCCAGAGTCCGGGGCGCCGTGCTCTCCCCCCGGGGGCCCCGGCGGCGCAGTCAGACTTCTAGGCTTGACTTCAGGTTGGCTGTGCTGTGCCTGGCGTCGTGTCCCGTGTAGAAGCCATAAACTGACAAGGATCAGCAGTGCATCTGTTTTGCTTCTTGCGTATTTGACACAGGGGTGAAATCCTTGGGGTTTGTCTGACTCCGTCTGCTTCTCCCCGCTCCTCCCCCCGCCCCCGGCATCGCCCTGTCCCGCCCGGGTTGTAGCCAAGGCCGAGCCCTCCTGTCCCCAGGTACCCAAGTTCCACCCGTCTCGTCCGTCACCGCCCCGTCCTCGGACACGTGGGTGTCTCCGTCACTGGCCGTTGGGAGACGCGTGGCAGTGACCTCGAGAGTGCGGACAGCCCGTCCGATGCAGTAGGGTCCGGCCCCCACCTTCCCCTCGGTCCCAAGCACGAGCGGCGGCCTTTCACCTTTTTCGGGGCTGAGTAGTATTCCACTCGGTCTGTGCCACAAGTCCTTGATCGCCCAATCTCTCCCCTATCTCGGTTTTTGCGAATAGTCGTGCTGCGGTCTGTGTTCAGAACTCCGAGTCGACAGAGCAGTTTATATTCTTAGGGCCCCAGACCTGGGTTTCCATTGTAGCTGGTTCTACTAGCGGGGCGAACCGGGACACCCACTTCAGGTATTTGCCCAAGACAAGGAATCCAGGCTAGTCATGTCAAGAGCTGGCTCAGTACCCCTCCTCCTTCCGCCACGTGTCGGGGTACAGGGCCAGTTTCCT